GGGTTTGCCCCCCCAGGCTCGGTTTTACACTGCAAAGAAAAAGAGTCCCCCGACCGATGGCCATACAAAACAAGTGCAAAACAGTGCAGTGCAGTAACTGAGGCTGAGGCCCGTGTCGGCAGGGGACTCAAAGGACTGGGGTTTGGGCCAAAAACATGCTTTGCCCCCTGCCGCTTTGAGCAGGTCTTGGTTTTCCTACAGGTGGAGTGAAATCGAATTGAGGCGCAGAGGGTCCCCCGAATTCTCACTGGGTTTTCAGGTGAATTGAAAAGATACAAGGATTGTCGGGCGTTGTGGCCTTATACACGGGCTGAACGGAGAGGCACTAAGCCGTTAAATCTTCACACCTATCCCCCTCAGAAACTGCGACGGTCTTTTCCAGTAGCGGTTGGCACACCAAGTTGTCGAAGCAAAACTTGCAAAGGGACGAGTCCCCATCATCTTGTGCAAGGGCTCTTTCTGTACGAGCTTTGGCCATATGTGCCTGTACCAGCTGTACTCCCCGCCAGTGCTCGTTGGGAACTAGTTGGAGACGTCCCTTCGCCTTTGGCTCGTTCGGTCGAACCGCAAGGTGGCTCGGGCTGTCACCCCGATCGGACGGGCGACCGGCGTCCCCCATGGCCACTCGTAGGTCGGTGCAGCGTCGTCATTAGAACTGTCCCCCCAGTCAGGCGGCGTGTCCGCGCTCATGCCCTTCCTTCTCTCACTGACTGTGTCTGCGTCCTCCTTTGTCACATGCCCGGGTCTTGTCATTGCTGTTGGCTCTTCCCCCTGGGCCTTGCCACGGTCTGTTCCCCTGCCTTGTGGAGCGTCTGAACCAGTCTCCAGTGCAGCGGCTTCCCCCGAGCTGCTGGGAGTTGTTTGTCTTGTCTGTCGTCGTCCCCCCCGCGTTTTGCGGATCTGCTTGCGGACTTTCTTGATCTGTTTGAACAGGTCCCCCGCCTCTTCAGGAAAACGGGCCACGTATATGCGTGCTTCAGCGAACACCTTTGGCTGGTACTTATCCACCAAGCGGATGTACTTGTCCACCACGTCCCCCATACGGCATCGTCTGGTGTGTCGTTTGCAGAAGGCCATATATGATGCAGCGAGCTTCCTGGAAAGTGGTTTTCCTGTGGCAACATCTCTGTATCCCCCGGCACTCTGGTCTTCGAGAACCTCTTTCCCGATCCAAGTGTCCATGGGCTGAGGCGCGAACAGCATTAAGTTCCCCTGCCTTGTCCGGAACTGGGTCAACTCCGCCAGCGGCCGTGAAGCATTTGCAGCATCCCCCTCTGGCTGGGGTGGCTGTCCACTGGATGCCGCCTCCGACGACTGTCTGGGCCTGCTGTTCCCCCTGTCCGTCACCCCATGCAATCGGCAGTTTGGGTCCGTACGCTCATGTTGTTTTCGGAACCCCTGGGTACATACACAATCCCCGAATTTACACAGCTTACACTCTTTCGCCATGTCCACCGTAGGTTGTTCTTCACTATCTTGTCCTTCCTGCCACAGTCACGGCCTGGTACTCGAAGGCGTCCCCCGCCCAGCGTTGAAGTAGCGGGCGATCAGCGGAGTGGCAAACGTAAGGGAGTTGTGCGGGCAGTGGATGGTATCCTCCCCGGCAAACGTGTTGAGGTTGAAGGTCCTGCATTCACGAAGTCCCCTCCAAGGTCGTAGTGTTCGATCGTTACCTTCACGGTTATGGCACACGGACCTTCCCCCGAACAGGGCCTCTGAAGCAAAGTGGCAGCAGGTACAAGACTCAAGCCTCCCCCCGCTTGAAGGAACGTCCACCCTCCAAGGTTGCTGGGAACAGCCAGCAGCCTCGGAGGGCCGTCCTCAAGCGCCCCCCCACAAGGAGAGAGCGGCGGGTCGACTTGAGCCAAAATGGCTACTCTCTCTCTCTCTCTCTTTCTGGCGGCGCCTTCTCCTCTGAGGATAACCTGCGGCACTGTCCAAAGTCGATGAGGCCAATGCGACCATCCGGCCTCGGTACTTATTCAATTCTCAGCCGTCCTATTGCTTTGCCTGACCAGGGGCCACCGGGGCCACTGCATCATCAAGATGTTGCCGGGATGAGGGTCAGCCTCGCATCTTAGTGGCATGGCTCATGGCTAGATTCCCAACTTGTCCACCTCTGAGCACGCAGGCGTTAAAGACTGGGCAGAAGAACAACTGGAAACCTCGGCATGTCACGGCTGGGCCATCCCAGGCACAACTCACACCAGCCAGTCTTATCCCCAGAGCATCCGAGGCAGAATCCATGTACGTCCAGCACCTAATCACCATGTTTTCGGAACACTTCGCAAGCTCAAGCCCAGGCTCCAGGCCAAGCGAAGCGCCGAGTGAAGCTCAGGGGCCTGCACAGACCTGCGACTTCACGGAGTCCACGAAAACCTGTGACCTCGGCCCTCTTCTGGCCTGGCATCTGCCATCTTGCGAGTCAGCCTTGGCTCCAGATGCTCCAGCGGCATTCCCCCGTCCCGGCATCTGAATTGGCCAAGCAGCCAGAAGAAGGCATCGAAACCCAACAGCCTGACCTCCACCACAGAAGGCGGGAAGGAAACTTCTGCCGTGGCTGTAGCTGAGCCTGCGACCGCCCATCTTCCCAACCCCCAACCTCGTGAAGGCACCTTGGACATGGCAGACTCTGTCGAAGACTCCGTCAATCACTGGCCTGGGGCGTCTAGCGCTTTGCTGACTGCTGCCAAGATTCCTGCTCACTTGACTTGCTGCCTTCTTGGCCTTAGCAACTGTAGACAGCTGCGAGATGCTTTCACAGGTAGAGCTGAAAGTCTGGTCTATAGGGGATTTTTAAACCCGAAAGTCCACGTGCATTGCGATGGTGCATGCGGCTTGACTGGTCAGCATGTGTCCGAGAAGGTGCCAATGAGGCACAGCACAGCATCGGCAATTTGCATTTTTGACCGCAATCCGCCCTGCAGGCTCGGACTCTGGACACGGCCATGCCCGAGATCAGCATGCGACCGGCGAACCCATCTGCCTGTCAAGTGCAGGGAAGATGTTGAAGATGGCAGCGCTGGTCAGAGTCACTACGAGCTGCATGCAGCCACCTCTGCAACATTTTCTTTTGCATCAAACCACGAGCCTGCGAAGCATGGCAGCTGCGACTGATGATCCCAGCAGGCTCGAGATCGAGCTGTTGCCCACTTCATGCTGCATTGACACTTGTTGCTCGCCTGTATGTCACATATCGCCCGGCCGTCTCTGATGGCCTCACGGAGCGAGAACCTAAACAACCTGAGCATGTGGGCATGACCGCAGCGCGGCCTGATGATCTTCATGACCTGAGTTGCAGCTGACGACTGCTGCGTAATGCGTCGGTCTGTGTTCTCGACCTGGTCGCGTTGCATCCCGAAGTACCTGGACACCAATCACTCGCCACATTGCTGCACCGGCTGTGCAACCTCCACCGGCCTTGCAACGGGGTCTGTGACCTGAATGCGTGGAAGCTGGGAAGGCTTCATCTTGTACCTCGGGCAGGATCGGAAGACAACGGACACTCTATTCAGTCTATTCAGACAGTGCAAGTGCAAGAGCCATGTTTGTTCCATGAAGGCATGCCTGTTCAGAAGCTGTTGCTTCTCTTCATCGGAAAGCGCAACGTGCTGTGGGACCTGGCTCTCAAGTCACAGAGGATTCGTTGCCCACCATGTGCGATTGCCTAGTGCACAGCTCTTCATTCCGAAAGCCGCAGGTGCCATTTTGTCAACAAGAACTCTGATTCCGCAACCCCGCAAGGCACAACGCATTGTGGTGGTTGGTCATGTTGTCATTGTTGTGTTCCATATCCATATCGTGTTCGTGGTCGTTGCTGCTGTTGTTGTTGTTGTTGCTGCTGTTGTTGCTGCTGTTGTTGTTGTTGTTGTCGTTGTCGTCGTCTTTTTGGCGGAGATCGGCCCGAAAACTACCACAGAAGAATAGCCTCCACGTCAGCATGGAAGAACCCTCGAGTTGTGCTGTCCGCAAACCCACACGTTTTCGGGAATCGCCCGCAGCTTGAAAGTTCTTCGGTCGAGTTCCGAGGGCCCAGGCCGCCCAGGCCTATATAGGGCTCAAGGACTTTACAGCCTCAGCTTCAACTCTGTGGCGGCTTTCTGAGCTTTTGCTGACGTTCAGGACAGACCCCGTGGGTCCGATGAACGTCGCGCGATATAGGCTTCTGGCGTGTCGAGTGATTGTCTTTGCACGCCCACGCCATCCCCAATCGAGCGTTCCAGCGCTCGAAGAGCACCGAGTTCGACGTTCTGCTCTGAAGGTCTGTCATGTTGGCTATACTTCCGCAGCCCAACCGAATGATATCGAATGCTCTGAGGCCTGCATGTTGCAACGAGGCTGAAGCTTCCAGATCCTCTTGTTGTGGCATCATGGCATTTCTTGGAATCACATCCCCGGTACAGTTTTTGCAGAACCCCCTTGCTCTTGGAGACGGGCCAGCTCATGCTGCGTGATGTTTACAATCAGCTCGTTCTCATGGAAGACTTCAATCCTCTCGCTTGTGTGACAGGAACCCAGCCCAAAGACCAACAACGGTTTGCCTGGCAAAGCTACAGCACATCTGCCAGGCTGAATGCGGCATGATGCGGCATGCATTATTGACCGGGGAAGCGAGCTGTTCACGTATCAAACATTACGGCCAATGTGGGGAAACCCATGGAAACCCGGAGCTGAGCTATGAGACAGCTGCATGATGACCCGCACTGCGGAACATGGGCATGGTTATCACTTCCACACTGCTGATCACTGAATTGACCCTTTCGACTCTGCATATGCTGGACACGCAGTCGCGATACCCGCTCTTCCCTCTCCTCATCTTCACACTTGCTTCCTGGATGGCTGTCCTCGCAAGCGGCGTCAGCGGCTGCCTCGACTTGGTGACCAAGTGGTGCACCATGCACGGATGTGCATCTTGGAGTGCTTGCTCAGGCGCTGCTGTTTGCTCTTTTGCTGCCGAGCATCTTGACCACCAGAATCGCTTCTCTGATCTTTCTCTCATCCATTTTTTCTGCGAGTATCCTGCAGTACTTGCAGGCTACTGATGCGATCACCTATTCGGGCCTGCACACAAGCTGCAAGTCCTGATGGGTTTCACACCGACGCGCTTGCTCTCATCCTCAGAAGCTTCACGTCTGACAGCTTTCGGTCCGGACACCTGATCCATGCATACTCATTTAAGTGCCCGCGCGGGAAAGAAGACTATGAGCTGCTTATCGGTTTGGTTTGTGTGGTTCACGAGGATGAGGAACCTTCATCGCAGGCAAGCCGTCGTGCAGGACTCTCCAGCTGCAAAGGCAGGGTGCGTGCAGGGAGCTGTGCCTTTCGCGACCAGCACCTTGATCCTGCGCCTCCTCAGAGAAAGTTACGCGACATGGTCACTGCCACATCAGAAAACCTTCAGACCTTCAGCTGCTTGCGCCGGCGCGGTACCATATCTCACTTCAACAGACCACTCGCTCCTTCCACACCTTTTCGAACTCTTCCTTCTTTTCTTCCAGGCTCCTGTGAGTTGGAGGATGCAAGACGGACCAGGCCCCTTACTGTAACTATAGACGCAACAACTGGCTCAGGCATGTACTTTTCGGACACGTAATAGCCCCGATCGTGAAGCCTTGGCTTCAGGACCACCTCATCATGAAACTTGCGCCTCCGTCAGCTTTCAAAATCAGGACCGGGCATCTGGAAGACCTGGGTTCCAGCAAGCTAAACTACGACAACATGGAATTTCAGAGGAAGCTGCCAAAACGAGTCTGCATCATTGCGGTCAAACCACATGTCTTCCTGCTTCTTACGAATGAGGGTGGGAGATCCTGTCTCAGACCCTGAGGGGCTCCGAAGATTGAAGGTTGTACCTACATTATCGGTAAGCGCAAGAAGACCAAAGTAGGGTTGTCCCAAGTGTCTGGGGACCCTGAGCGCCAGGCCTCGATTCAGCAAATCAACATAGCAGCGACAAGCTGTACCCTCGATCACTCTCAGTCTCCCAAGGCCTAGGTCCTGAGTCTAGTTGTTCTTATACCTTCCATTCAAAGTCGTAAGTCACGCATGAGCAAGAGCTGGGCTTCCCGATATCGCATGGCCACTTAGATGTGAGGGATCTCTGCCGCGTCAAAGAAGTGCCAGCTCAGACGAGGGGCGGTTTTCCGGACTCGCCATAGCTTCGTGACCTCGTCAATGAATGATGTCGCCATGGCTCAACAGGCGCACAAAAGCCCCGCAGCGTGGAGGCTTCACGGACTAACCTGGTTACGAATTACGACTCGCTGCAACATTCTTAGTTGTGACTGGAGCTGTGACACATCGCCCAAGCAGAATCTCAAGGACATGTTGGCCACGTCGATATTGCATGATGTGCTATTCATGGCTTTGAGCCGCATGCGCATGCATGTCAGCAGCTAATGCGACATGATCATGCGGATTTGCCGTACAACCGCTCAGCTTCATGGTGGCGAGTCTTGGCTGGGAAGCCGACCGAAATTCTGGGTGATGCCATGTCGCTGCTGCGCAGCAATCCAGTCACCTGCTCAGCGTGACAGCTACTTGACGCATTGGGGAGGTCCTGCTCCATGCCACTGAGACGTCATGCTCACACTGCAAAATGAATGTTGTGCAGGGCCGCATTTCGTCCACGTGCTTGTTTACTTGCACATTTGCTTTGCTCCTGGTTTGACTGCTCATCGGGTCGTGAGTTTGGTGCGAACGTGTTGGGGGGTGGGTTACGCATCTGCATCCTCGCTGTCCTGGAATTCGGCTGCTCGCACAAGAGTTGCAATCCAGTGCGCAGGGCCCCGTCTCTATTCTGCGCAGCTCGCACCTATTCCCTGCTGTCCGACGTCCATGCCCAAGGCCTCCAGGCAGGCAACATGGCCCAGCTGCTGACACCAAGAGACTGCACACCTGCAGCCGGGCACGAAGTGCTGTTTCGAGCTTCGGCCCCTCCAGATATCCCATTCCTGGCGGAGCCCGAAGTCTCACTGGAGGCTCTGGAGGCGGCAGAGAACGCAGGCTGGGCCTATGACGCTGCCGCTCGTGAGCTGCGGAATAGGTTCGGGCCTGGCCGGGAGCGCCGGGCTTCCCTGCGGGCCCCCCGCAGTGCCCCGCGCAGTGCCCCTCGCAGTGCCCCGCAGTTTGCAACCATTCTGCAACGGGCTCTGCGTCAAAGTGGGAAAAGCACAGGATTCCACTTACCTCTCGGTCACGAAGCGGGGCGCCTCCAATCGTATACCCAGCATCAATAGCAATTGCAATTGCAAGGCAAAGCAATGCAGGAGATCGACTCAGAGTTCTGATTTCCGTAAGGTTAACTACTCAGCAAAGGACAACACCGACGCTCGCTAGCGAAAGCGGATCTTTTGCTGGATCTCTCGCAAGGAGGATCTTGAGCAGTCAAGCTGC